ATATTAAATGGCATTTAGAGATTTTTTCATCTAAACTCTTCATTATTGAATTTTAACTCTTAAAACAGTTTGATTCTATAATGATGTCTGTGGCTCCACATTCATTCATTCATTTTCCTTTTGGCTTAGTCCCTTTACCAATCCAGGGTCGCCACAGCGGAATGGACTGCCAACTTCAACCAGCTTGTTTTTACGCAGCGGATGGCCTTCCAACCGCAGCCCATCCCTGGGAAACATCCACACACACTACGGACAATTTAGCCTACCCAATTCACCTGTACCGCATTTCTTTGGACTCAAAACTCCGGAGCACCCGGAGGCAACCCACGCGAACAGGGAGAACATGCAAAGTCCACACAAAAAAAGTCAACTGACCCAGCCAAGGCTCGAACCAGCACTACCCACTGCGTCACTGTCTGTGGCTCCTCTCCCATTCAAAAAAAATTAACAGTAACTTCAATACACTGTATGAAGCCTTAATTACAACTATCAACACCATATAGATCTCAGTGTGTAGGTATATGAATTAACATTCATCTTTTACAGAAATGATCAACTCTGTTCACAGTTCTGTTCAGTGGTGGACTTGTGTGTTCTTTTAAAGGGCGGAGTGCCATTGTATTTTACTAATGAGGGCTCTGTAAGCAAGAAGTCCCAGTAGGGGTCTTGTAATCCTGTGTGTGTGTGTGCGTGTGTGTTGTGCTGACTGACTTCTGTTTGAGGTTGAGGCGTTGGAAATACATTCACACGTGTGTGTCCACTTCGAAAGACTTTCAGATGGAGGAGAGAAGAAGACTGTGTGAACTGAGTACTGTAAGCTTGTTATCTGATTCTACCCACTGAGCCAATACAATACTTGTATACAATGGTTATTTAATGTACTCCATCAGACAGCACTGTATGGAAGTGGCTGTATTCGCAATTTAATCGCTACGATTTTTTGACCCCCCTTTTAGGACTTTATCAGTATTGCTTACTATCTATCAAATAGCTTTTAGATATTTTATAATGCTGGTCACTTTTTATTTTTGAAGAGTGTGGTATTATACTTTCTCTTGTCCCGTATTGATCCTACCGATGCAACACATCATGCATTACCCAACTAAATTTTAATCTGGATCCAAATAGGTATTGAGACTTTAACATATAAACAAAACAAAAAATATATATATTTGTGCTCAATTTAAACATTAAATTTAGTAATGTTCAACCTAATTTGTTTGTTTAAAGTCAGCTCATATACACTGTTTTCAACCACTTACCTTAAAACATTTTGTCAATCCAATGAACTATTTTTTTGTAGTTTGATGCTGTACCCTGTTTGCCGATTCTCAGGAATTGCCTGGTCATACACATTCTTTACCTTCTGTCCCATATCAAAATAACAGCAGTAAAATGTTATTGAAACAATAACCCAAGATTATCACTTTTAGAAATAAATAGACTATAAGACAGTCCCTGGCCTAGTTAGATTACATGTGACCCTAGACCACAAAACCATTAGTGTAGTTTTTTATTGAGTATATACATATATATATATAAAATAGACTATATTTGGCTGCGATAAAACTATTTGAATTTCTGAAATCTGAGGGATAATACAAATTCGGTTGGTGCTATTTTCATGAGTAAGGTGTGCATCTTTAAATTTCCTAGGACAAATCTATAAGATCACACTTGCAAAACCTCTAGCCATTCTTTCATGATTTCAGTGTAGTAGCATTATAGTACATAGTCATTGTTTCAGAACACAAGAGCATTGTGATGTGTAATTAATTAATATCTATATTTAAAAATTTAAATAAAAGTGTGTTCAAAAGAACACATCAGGTTGTTTACTTATACAAGCAAACATAACGTAAACATTATCAGACAACAACCACACAAGTTGAAAATCTGTATACATAATAAATTCATTGCTTAAGGATAAAGATCATTTGAATTAATTGATAAACAAATGTATTACTGAATGATAAGAAATGCACAATCAAAAGTTTGATAGTGTTATGAAAGGCTGATTAAATATATAGCCTACGTATGAAACTTATTTTGTGAAGTGAAAGGGAAATTTTGTAATTCTGAGTATTGAAATATTTGGGAAAAGGTGCACGTTTTAATGTAAGTTCTAAGAGTTTTGAAAATGCTCCAGTTAGGCCTATTTGTGAAAATTGCGTCAAATCTAAATGTAAGTTTAGATGCATTTACAATAGGAAATTTATAAAATATTTTCAGGACACTAGATAATTTATTAATAGGATTTGAGCCAAAAAAGAGGCTCAAATCCTAGGCTTTTTTTATTATTATTATATTATTATTATTATTATTTTTTTGACTCATTGAGAGTATTTTTGGTTATTGCAACTAGTTTTGTGTCCCAGGGTTACATTTACCTGTGAATTAACTATAGGTCTAAAATCATAAATTAAAACAAAAACAATAAAATATTTCCTAATAAGGTGTTTTGTCGAAATGTGTTGGAGGCTGAGAACCAGTTCATTTAAGCCTTAAACAATTAAAAAAAAATTTATTTATTTTATTTTATTTTTTGGACTTCGAAAAACAACCGAAACTAACATTATTGTAATCACGCTGAGTCGCTCAAACTAATTAACTAACACCATTATCACTCCTAACTACAGCACAGTCACACGTTTTATCCTCAGATGTGGATTCCACTCGTAAATCTAACAGTTTAAAAAAGTGTGACCAAGGTTTACTGAAAAAAAGGAATCATTTATTAGTGTAAGCATTAAGACACAAAAGACGCATGTTTATTGGTATAGTGGCCATTTCGCACAATTCATATGTAAATTATGCATTCTGCAAAGTGTATTCCCATTTTGACATTTAAAGACAGGAGGTTGTTGATTTGAGTTTTGGTTTATTTTTTCTTAAGCTTTTTTAAAATGTCGTTTCTTAATTTATTTGGACGTAGAAGCCGCAGTTAAAACAGAGCAACTAAATAAGCTAAACGCCGTGTGTTTAAGATTTGTAGATTTTCGTTTTTGATAGGCTATATTTAGGTTAAACAAAATCAAAAGGTCCCATAAATCGCGTTCATATTATTTATATTATTCTTATTGCCATGCTGTTCTTGTATAGCCTAATATGGTTTTACTTTTCAGATAAGCAAGGCTGAACAGCTTTTCATCATAATCATCAGAAGATCGAATTAGTCTCCAATTAACAAATACTCAATCATGTAGGTCTCGTGAGGCAAATGATAAAGCAAGACGCTCGACTTCAATTCGATTAACTCCAGTATCATTAGACTGTCTAACATGCATTATGCTCAGATCGTATCGATTAACGACCAGCCCTCTCTTAGCTTTGTCAAAGCCAGGCCACAGGTTTCGCTGCTGCGCCATGAGCCAGACCGCAAGATAAAATCTAAACTTTGATCACTGCAGTCATTGAATTAACTGCGCGACTATTTCTGATCAGACGAGTCTGTGTTTAATCAAGGTGTCAAAGCTTTTCATGATTCTATTACGGCTGCAAAAGCTGACTGCTGGAGGGTATTCATTCAGCTCGTATCTCTCACTACACACGGGCACAACAGGTGCACCAGACTGCAGTGGCAAGTCTGTGAGCTGTGTTGCCTGTTGTTGAAATTTTACGCCAGTTGCACTGAAAAAAATGATGTCTGCAAAATCGTTGCAAACAATTTATGTGTTAAATTTAAGCAAACAAAATAAACTTAATGTTTAACTCAATTTATTTGTTTAAATTCAACCCAAAAATTGTTTATAATAACTTTCCTTTAAAATAAATTGTAAATCCGAGGAATCATCACTTAATATTTTTTTGTTGTGTTTTGGTTTATTTTAAATCTAGCCAATAAATAAATAACATCTCTCTCTCTCTCTCTCTCTCTCTCTCTCTCTCTCTCTCTCTCTCTCTCTCTCTCTCTCTCTCTCTCTCTCTCTATGCAGAATTACTTTTTTTGAAAATCGAAAAATGTTGAAGGTTTTAAGGGTTAAACTCACTAAGCACTTTAAAAACAATTTGTTCAAAGTCCTTATTTAAAATTTATTAAAACAAAATTCTTAAGTTTTTATCGATAACTTAATTGTTTTATATCTAATCCACTTAAATTAGAAAAAAAAAAACGGTCAAGGTAACTTAATTCATTTGTGTGGGACGACATGAAGGATTTGTACAAGCGTTTTTACAGTGTGTGTAGGCTATGTTCTGTGTTCTCTGTTTTACTTATGGTCACTTGGTTTGTTTTTTTTGATAAACATTAATTATCAAGGACTTTGGCATAGCTAAACAGTCACTTTATCAAAACATCCCTCGTATTGGCTACAATAGCCTCCTGGAGAACAAACATTTTACGAAGGGTTGAAATGAGATTTCTCGATTTATTCATGTCATTGCATAGTGGCCAGTGTCCTGTGGGCGTAGCTAAACATAAGTTTATCTGGAGAAGGTTCAATGCAGCACGTAGTCTGATGCTATGTGATTTGATAGGCTTCTGTATGCGAGAGTAAACTTCTCCTGACCCTTTTAGAAAAGTTGAAAAGATGTGTTTTATTGTTAAATTAAATTACATATTAAATAAGCACAAACAAGCCCTTACTATCTGGATCAGGCCATGCTTTTATTAGGGGCCCCACAGAGGAATGAACCGTACATTAAAAGAAAATTCCAGAACTTAATATCAGTCAAATTTGAACTAAGCAAGCAAACAGCAACTTCAACCAACAATTATTCATTGTTTTTTTTTTTAGACTTTGTTAAAATTTTGACTCAGTTAAATCAGTTTAACTGTTCAAAATGTGTTTCTATTGATTTATAAATTATTATTATTATTATTATTATTATTATTATTATTATTTTTAAATTGTATTTCGTTTGCAACGAAGACATAAGTTTTATCACCAAGGTGAAACTTCTCACGCTTCACACCTTTAATCCACTCCTCCGCGCCCCCATTGGTCCACAGCCATTTTAAAGCCTCGATCTTTGAGCTGGACCAGGACGAACTTCTCATCGGACGCAAAACAGCATGTATCTCGACCGGATGCTCCCTGACCTTGAAATGAGACACACCACAAGGATGCCTGAAATTCAGCAGTGCCACTATTTGCAACATCAGAACGACGAACAGCGCAGGACGGCCCACTGCCCCGCGTCGGGCCCATTAAGCCCGGTGTCTGTCGGGTCTGAATCCAGCTGCTCAAGTCCCGAAGCGAAAGCGCCCGTGGAAACTCGAGTAAGACGCCCTTTAAACGCGTTCATCATCTGGACGAAAGAGGAGCGCAGACGCCTTGCGCAGCTAAACCCGGACCTGGAGAACACTGACCTCAGCAAAATACTTGGTGAGTGGAAAAACTTTAACTTGAGCTTTATTAAAAGCATCCTATTAGGGCAGAAATGGTCCAGTGTACATTGTTTAGTTATTATTAGGATAGTTTACACAACAATTTAAAAGTAAAAAGAAAAAACTCACACTCAAGTGGTTATCTTTTATGCATGTCTTTTTTTGTTGAACACAAAATAGGATGTTAAAAAAAACAGTTCACATGCAAAGTAAGAACAAAACGCTGTAAGGTCAATAATGACTTATAGCCTACTTTTCCACATTCTTCAGTATATCTTCCTTTGTGTTCGACAGAAGAAACTAAAAGAAACAAGTGAAGGATGAGCATGAGAAGTGGAAAAATTTTTATTTTTGGCTGAACTATCCTTTTAAGACAAGAAAAGAAGTTCTAATAACTGATCTTATATTGTTTAAACTAAAACTTTTCGTATTGTTATTTTTTAGGCAAGACATGGAAAGCAATGTCTCTGGCAGATAAGCGTCCGTACATGCAAGAAGCAGAAAGACTACGGATCCAGCATACCATTGACTATCCTAACTACAAATACCGGCCCCGTCGACGAAAGTGCAACAAGCGGAGCAGCAAGATGCCTTCAAGTGAGAACGTCAGCTCTCCAAATGCCACCTTTGATCTCAGCTATATGTTTCAAGGTCAAGCCCCTCAGCGGCCCTACAATCAAATAAACTCATATAGGCTTCCCCACAATGGGTTTTCATTTGAAAACCACTCTTCATCATACCACTTCGAGGCAACATCATCAAGTGGAAACGTGTTTCATGGTGGCGCGACTTCACTGAACTTGTCTACTGTGCATCTGCCACGGTCTGCTTACTCAGAGTCACTATTGTATTCACAGCATTCTGTCCAGCAGAGCGCTGTAGAGCTCCATGATAGGTGGGGAACGGAGGGTTGTGCGTGTGTGCTGTGTTTGGGTGGACCTTCTCTGGAGTTTTATCTAGAACAGGTGAGATCAGACATGTTGGACCAGCTTGATCGCAGTGAATTTGACCAGTACCTCAATCCAGCACAGACTTTGGACCACAGCAAAAAGTGAAAACATTTGATGAACACTTGAATGATGACTGCTGCTTCCATCCAGATTGCTGCTGATTTTGTTTTTTGACTGAAACAATTTCTTACTTTAACACAGGTACTATTTGTATGATAACCATAGATTATTTATAATATCTAATGCAAAATATTTGCTGACATACAGTAAATGTAATGATAAAGTTGTTAACTTGACCAGTTTGTACTGATTTTTTTTACATGTGAAAAAATGATCTTTCAAATGATGTAAATAAATGAATATGTCAATACATACATCACTTTAATTCTTTCAATTGTTGTTTGGAAAATGGATTCATCAATAAATATTAATTATAAAAAAAAACTATTAAATAATAGCAATAACACTATATATAAAATAAATTCCTGAATACAACTTGGTGATCATAACCCACAGTCTACTTATTAAATATTTTTCAGGCAACAATCCCACCACTAAAAGTCCAAAATAAAAACTATTTTCCTAACTCTTACTTAATATGCCTATATTCAGTGCTGGATATGTTTTTAATTGTAGCCTCCTACTAAGTACTAATAACAAACATATTGTCTTGGAAATAAAATATAAACAAATAAAAATATTCACAAGTAGCAATATTAATTTGATGCAATGTTTAGTTTGTCTTCAGTCATCTTGGTTTTAAACAGACATTTCTGCATTGTAATATTGATTAAACGGGTGGAGGGTGAGACTCCGTGAATTAATGCTGATTTGTAGTTTAATGGCAAGATCAACCAAGCACACATTCATGTGTAGCTCTTTCACATTATCATGAGTATTTTCATCATCCAGTTTTTTACTGGGGTGCCAGGTTTAAGGGTCGGGCTGTCATGTAAAATCTTAAAGGTTCATCCCTAAGTCAGAAAACCTGCACTGATTAGGATTTTAGTTCTTTGAATTGCCTGCAATGGAAATTTGTTTATCATTGGTACAAAAAAGTTTTTTTTGTTCCACTTTTACTTTTCATTTATTTGTATCTTATTATATATTTTTATTTATTATCACATAAAATAACAAAATATTTATTCATTTATTTATTTGATAACTTATAAAAAAATATTTATATTTGGTTTCATAAACAGTAATTGGTAATTTTGCTGGGGTTCCCAGGGTTCCCACACTTTTCAAGGACTTTCAAGAACTTTTTTAAAGAACCATTCATTTTAAATCAAGTACCTGTGTAATTTATATAATGAGCGTATGTAGTGCCATAAAAGGTCTTACTGTTCTTAACATTTCACTTGCACTTATAATTTACATAAAAAATGCCAGAATAATTATCAAAAATGTTGATCGTTTAGAAAAGTCATGTTCAAAGAACTTTAATAAAATTTGTTGAATTCAATACTGCTGAGTCAAATGTGGTTACTTATTTGTCAATGGTTATTGTACAATATTCAACATACAATATTAAGATTGTAAATTTAAGAATTATATAGTTTTTTTCTGTCTTTGACAACTGAGTACATTTGTTAAAATAAAACTATACACAAATTTAATTTCAAATTTACTTCAAGCACTTTCAAGGACCTGTGTTTGTTTTTAAGTACTTCCTAAACCTTGAATCCATATGTCTAAAATACTTTTAAATACTTTCAAGAAGCGTGGGAAATCTGTTTTAATCACTCCAGTTAATTTATACATCATATATTTAATTGTTTAAATACTGATATATTGGTCATATTATCTAAGACTTTAAATATGTGTGAGAGCAAAAATAAAAATAATAAAAAATTTGAGCAAAAAATAACAATCACAGATGGTCCAAACTATATACAACAAGACTTACATTTGATGAAATTGTAAAAATAATGCTTCAAAGATTATGGGTGACATTTTATTTTACAATGCCCTAGTTCCAGTGTATATTTTTAATTAACTATGATCTTACAATATGATTATAAATAAGATGAGGGTTTGTTTAGTTGCATGGCTTTATGTATGATGTATATTAGTGTAGTAATGCTAATGTGTAACAAGTACACCTCAAAATAACTTGTTACCAGATTATATTTCTCTAACACCTATATTGTTGGTGTTGGAGTTGTTTTTTATCCATTTTTTATGTTCACTGAGTAGCCTACAACAATTTTAAAGGCGTAGTCCTGTAAGACAGTTTGAAATGGAGAAAGAATTACAGCATTCAAAAATGTTTAATGATGCAGAACTGATATTGAAATAAAATTACTTTTCAAATAAATTTTGAATGTTAGTTCAGTGTATTTAGCAGCTTTTTTCATGCAGTTTTAATTTCATGCAAAACGATCTTCATTTATGTGACCCAAAACTGGTAAAAATAGTAAAAGTTTATTTAATGAGAATGAATTTAATCAGAATTATGCAATCATTACACACTATAAAGGATGCACACTGTATAAAATCTGGCATTTGTAATATTGATTCTGAACTGTTGTAATATTTGTTCAAAATATGGAATTTTCTTCTCAGAAATGATCCTGTTCTGATAAGCTGACCGCTCCAACATTCCAGGAATGCTTCGGACGTGTTAATATTACTTGAGTGGAAAATTCAGTATGCATAAAAGAATTTTGAAGTATTTTGAAAAAGGGAAATGAAAAAAAAAGATGTCCGAACAGAATCAAAATTTAGACTGGCCTTTTAATGATTATGTGTCTAATCACTTGATATGGAAGAAATCTTCATAAGATATTTAGATGTACTACACTTCCTATTATGGCCTCAACAGAATAGATGTATTCAGTCAAGGACTTGAACTGACTTGTACTTTGTGTATTGTGGTGCTTAGCATTAATATGTTGCTAGCTGTACTACATTGTAAAATATGACATTACCTGTTACCAGCAGGTGATGACTCAAATTGAACACTGACTTAGATGTTTTTATGAGAAATTTGCTAAAGCCTGAAATGGCAAAACCTACAAAATATTAGCAGGAAACAAATGTTTGAGTTCTTGTTGGATTTAAGATTTCAAGGACTTTTTTATTGTTGTTGTCTATATTGGGGTGTTACACTTGCCTACTGACTAAAACATTATAAAAACTTGATTGTCCTTGATGCAGGACATGTTACAGTTTTTCTTGTTTGCCTTGATGCAGCCGTCAACTGAAATTCCACATTTTCAAAACAGTTAACACACAGGCCTAAACAGCGGCCTCATGGTCAAAATGAAACATTATGCTTGCAAAATGCACATACTGTGTCAAAACATTTAAAATATGCAACAAAAGCTAGTTTTACCTTCAAACAACACAACTTGCAAACAAGTATATGAGCTCTTTCAATTAATTATTAGACAATGGACAACAAAAAACAAAACACAAAACTCAGTGTGAATTCTATTTGGGCTGTCAAATTTGCCTTTTTGCAAAGAATTGGATCCAGAATAAGAAATGCTTTGATTAAACTTATATTGAATTCATGACATTTTTCAAACTGTGGCTGAAAACTGAAATAACGTTAAAAAAAAATTAATAAAAAAAAAAAAAAATAAATATATATATATATATATATATATATATATATATATATATATATATATATATATATATATATATATATATATATATTTTTTTTTTTTTTTTTTTTTGCAGAAAAATGAAAAAAGTAATAAAATAATGTAAATATTAGAGAAAACACATGTCAACCAATATACAGTCAAATCTATTGGGAGTATAGGACATAGCCACTATTGACCTCCTCCAACCATGCTGACACAGAACAACACAGACCTTCCACCATTTTTAATGTTTGCAGACTGATTGCTAATTGAAGATTTGTGTGAAGGAGTGTCAAACCGGTGCTTCAGTGAATTCATACTGATCTTGGTAGTTTCTAATGGTTAGGAATAGACAGTTTCTGTTTGGTTACCATAGCTAAAACAATGAAGATTGGACTGCTTAAATGAAATCTGTGTTAACTGTTTGGAAAAATGGTGGGGAAAATGTGTCAACCCAATGAGAAAGGGTTTACAGATTTGCAAGACCGGTCTTCTGCTCTTGGAATAGTGATAATGAAAATGAAGTGGAACCTAGTTTAGTTAACCAGGTCAAAGCAAACAAGAAAAACTGTAAGTCTAATCAACAGATCATTCTGACATTGCATCTAATTAAGCTCTGCAATGAAAAGTACGAGGCACAGACCCTGATAAATGTTCTGCTGGTTTGAAAAGTTTGTTACAAACTTGGAACAAAAGTAAGTGTCTGGCCTGAAAAATTACAATGTATGTACAATTTATATTTTAATGTACACATGGCTGCTGTGTGCATGCTGGCATTCTCAAAATATAAACTTTAAAGTGCATGTGTGCTACTTTAAATGCAACAATGTGTGTGTGTGTGTGTGTGTGTGTGTGTGTGTGTGTGTGTGTGTGTGTGTGTGTGTGTGTGTGTGTGTAAACAAACAATATGCATTCTATAGAATGTGTAATAAAAGGTCTTAACTTTAATAAAGCGTAAATTATACTGAAGCACATTATACACACACTGAGAGCTAAATTTAATCATATGCTGTTGTTTTATTTTATCATTATAATGCACTAATCTAATGATGATTACTATAATGATCAATCAGCTAACTGAGCATCTTTTGAGTAATGAACTGGATTTTTCAGAACTATTTTTAAAGAAGATTCTGTCAAAGTGACAGTAAAGAAAATGCATCAAAAGCTTTTGATTGTTTAATTCTGTCTGTAACTAAATTAGTAAAGCGAGACCAGGAGGGTATTGAGTTATGTGGCATGGGATTGTGGCATGTTTTAATTTTTAATTTTTGGCTGATTAAAAGCTTAGTGGTTAGCACTGGCACCTCACAGCAAGAAGGTCTCTGGTCCAAGTCCCGGCTGGGCCAGCTGGAATTTCTGTGTGGAGTTTGCATGTTGTCCCAGTTTTTGCGTAGGATGCCAAGTTCCCCTAGTTTCCCCCTGTCCAAATGGATGGAACTAAATCCACCGTGTTGTATGAGTCTGTGTGTGAACGAGAGAGAGTTCCCAGTTCTGGAGGTTCACAGATTAGTGTACTCTCTGTGCTGGGTTGCAGCTAGAGAGGGCATTCGCAGCATTAAACATCTGAACAATTCACTCTGCTGTGGTGACACCTGAAAAATCAAAGACTAAGCAGGAATGTCTGAAATGGATTTTTGAAGTGGACTTGTGTGTAGTGTCTAAAATGAATCATTCTGTGAGATGATCCTGCAGTTGTGTGATTAGTAGTTAGGTTGAATCAATGATAGTTTTCTTTGGAGTGTATTTGCAGTTTCTGAGCAAGAGCGCCCATT